CTGTATGATCTATATATTTATTTATTTTTGATAAATCAGATCAACACATTGTGCACACAGCAGTCTGTCTCTCACCATCATGATGTCAGTTACAGAGCTTGTCTCTCATTATATTCATAACTCGGGACGTCTTGTGTTTAGTGTGTGTGTGAGAGCTGTGATGCTCTGTGACTACTTCAGGAACACTCACACCTCCTGCTTTCTTTTATTTCATTTCTTTTTTTTTGGATTTTGTGATTGCTGTTTTGTTGTCGTCTCATTTTCAAATTGGAAACATTTGACTCACGTGTTAAATGGATCCTGCTTATCAGCTTTTGAGTTTCAATAAGTGAACTAAATTATAAAAATGATAAATGAATATAAATACATTATACGTGTAAATGTTTATACCTCTAATAATAAAAAGGACGTTTGCATAAAGTCACGATAATCCGCAGCTTTTGATCTGGGCTAGAATAAGTGTGTGTGTCAGTAGCTGTAGATGTTTGGTCTAAACTCTCACTAATAATAGTTGAACAGAGACAACAGGGCGGAAGAGCTCAACTCGACTGCTCTCCGTTCACTTGAGACACGCAGAGAAGCGCTCAACATGAAAGCTGCGTGTCTGTCAGCAAACAGGCGCAGGTTGGAATACAGCAGGCTGCTGGTGAAACAAGCCATCACGCGCATAGCTTGGTCTATTTAATCAGGCCCTGTACCATGTGCTTTTTGCAACCCGCCTCATATTCTTCATTGAGTTCAAATCCGTTCATCTCAGTTCTGCTCTCTTTGTTGCGATCGTTCCTCCTGAGCCTCCTGCTTCATAACAAACATTGATGCTTTGTCACTTTTCACTATTTCATTTGAGAATTTGTATTTAAATCGTGTGGGATAGGTGTTTGGGAGAATGATCTCTGTTCGAGTCCACTTTGAGCTTGGTGATTTGGTTTAACAGCATATCGAGAGGAGTGTGAGCTCCATGCTGTTATGAAGCTCTGCTCGATGGGCTGAGCCCTCTTTACTGCTCATCGTTCCTTCCTGAACGCGGAGCTCTCGTCTTCTTATTGCTACTTGTATTCAAAGTGTTTGGGGCTTCTTCAGCAACGACAGTGCGGCTGAAACAAGTCTTTGATGAAGACGTTGTGGAGATACAGGCCGTTCCTCTGTGTGCTTCAGGGGCTTCAGCTCAGTGACACGCAGGGGCAAGTTCCGTTCTAAAGATGTTTACTGTGAAGAGCTGGATCCTCACCATTCAGATAAGCATCTTTTTTTTTTAAAGCAAACACACTTGCATCAAAGCCGAACACCACTGTTAGGCCTCGTGTCCGTGAAGAGGGTAACTCATCATCATCATCTACAGAAGAACAGCAGAACAGGACGCTCGGGCCCGTTCTATCAGCCACATTAAATACAATGAACTTCTTGCGCTTCTTGCAGCTTTGAAATGAACGGCCATTGTGCATATAAATGACCATATATATGGACATATAGGCCAAAATCAGTGATCTCAGCAATATACTCAGAGGTCGGTCTTTGTGAGCAAACAGTATTTATTAAGTCATGGATGCAGCCAGTCCAACATCTCATCATTTCACTTCATTGCTTAATATTTCTCTGCACATGAATGTGAAAAAGAAACATTTTAAGCAACGTGGTCATCTGTTAGTATGTCAGAGGCTACTCCTTCAAATAAACAGCCGTGCACTTGCACGTTAACGGAAGTGCTTTATATTTTCCCTACAGATGGAAGCCCACAATGTTCAATTCAATTCAATTCAATTCAATTAATTTAAATTAAATTAATTTAAATTAAATTAAATTAAATTAAATTAAATTAAATTAAATTAAGTACAGTAAATTACATTGCATTACATTACATTAACTTAATATCGAATAGTGGCATGAAAGCTTCAAAACAACCATGTTGCCAAAGCATCAAATACGAAACTACGCAATAACAATACAATAATACATTATTCTCTCTCTCTCTCTCTCTCTTTGTGTGTGTGTGTGTGTGTGTGTGTGTGTGTGATGAGGGGGTGTCACTAGGTTAAATGTGACTGTCACCACTTCAGCAGTATTCAGTTTGTTCTGAGATGTGTTCAGGTGCAATAACAAACGCATTTTCCTCTGAAATTAGTTGCGCAAAAAAACGACCACCGGAATGTTTCACTCAACCAAGGCAGTGTGCTGACACATGGCGGAGTATCACTCACACACACACACGCACGCGCACGCACACACACACACACACGCACACACACACACACACGCACACACACACACACACACACGTATTGCGTCACTTTCCTCCACGTCCACGCGTTCATTCACAGAGGACTCATCCAGATCAGAGACTCGGAGCGGATCTTCGCCTCAGTTCGCGCTGGAAGCAGCGAGGCCGTCTCTGTTCGCCCGCTCGCGTGACAAAATGACTTGGTATGCATCCACGCGCTGGTTTGTTGCGCGCCTTCTCCGTTCCAATAGGCTACTATCTGTTCACATTTGCCTCATTATCATATCATATGTAGAGTGAACTGAAACATTCCCAAATGCAATGTAAAGAGCGGTCGCTTAGCAAGCACAAACTAGCTTACTGTAACAACTACATTATAAACTAACTGTATATTAATAACTACATATTACCTATAAATATATCCCATAGCCATAAATAGTGCTGAGATATTTGTGTTAAGAAACTTGACCTAACAAACAAAATAAATTCTGGTTGAAGCAAAGCCTTGTTGTCTCTCATATTTTAAAAAAAGATGAAAACATAATGATTAATATAATAAGGACCTCACAGTCCTAGTATGCAAACAAGAGGGAGGTCGCCCACCGTATGGCTACAAGCAACACCACGTGATCCCCAACAACATGCAGAATGCCTCATCCAGACCGGAAGCTGGGCCACTGAGCCTGCAGTTCACCCATCAAGACCTCTGACGTCACTGGGACACAAACACATGCAGGCATTAAAAGCAGTGATGGCTTAAAGGCACAATCCATGATGTAATGTCAATATTTACAATAAGGTAACAGACAACTACTAAATGTTGCATACATCAGGAAACTGGCTGATGAATATTTATATTATTCCAAAATGACTGAATGAGTCTTAAAAGAAAAAGCAGGAGACAGACGCTGCAGTCACTGTGTTGTGATCCACTATATTTCATACTCTGGTAATATGACTGATGGGTGCTGCATTTAGGCTCTGTGGGAAAGATGGTGTAGCAGAGCTTGCAGGTCATCCCAGTATTGAAACTAAATGTAAATTATACATTTCAAGTGGTGAAAAGGCCACCAATAAATACACTTTACCTCAGCCTGGGTTAGCACTCCACAGCCGCAATTACATTTAATTACTTTTTCAATTCAGTCAAGTTAAATAACTATTCCTACTGTTAAAATACAAACCAGGCCTACTGTGACACCTAACAGCACAAACAGCCCTGCCCACAGCTCTTTGGGCCACTGACCAGGAAATATAGCCAAACATCAGCCTCTCTGTCCTTTAACAACGCGCCATGTTGTGTAGAAAAATGAAGTGCGTTGACTGTTTTACATGTCTTTGTTTTGGGTAAACTGAGTTGTAAATCATGTTGGGCCCACACCACCAGCTCTCACAACAATTTGGAATTATATATTGAGCTGCATTCAAGGTCGTGCAGCTGTATTTCAGCTTGGTCTTGTGTAAATGTCTCTGAATGGTCATGCGATGACTGTAAGCAGGGCCATCACTTACTATCTGAGGGCTGGGCTGAACAACCTTAACCATATTAAGAATTCAATCTGTGCCTTTAAATGTTCAAGTAATAAGAAATTTCCGCTGTAACCTGAATGCATCATAAACTCACTAGGTGGATTGGATTAATCTGCATCTCCAGGGAATTCCGGGAAGCTCACGTGACACCAACTCTTCCGCTCTATTGGTCCGAGGCACGTGTCTAAGAGACCCGTAGTACAACGTCATCACAGTGTCTCGCAGCCAATCATAAATGAGAACCAAAATCCATAGTGAAAGTATTTCAGCGGCGTCTTCATCAGAGCAGTTAGTTCTGCTGGAAGCATCAAAAATTGTGTGCAAGGACCCGGAACAATTCAAGAGGTTAGACTAGTTTTTTTTCAATCTTTTTACATTTTTGTAGATACATTTTTGTAGCACCAGGTCCAGCTATGAGGAGTAGGCTTTTACCAGAAACTGAAGCATGATTTTTCTTTGTCAAAATCATAAAAGGCGTGTTTTCACAGCAAAAGAAATATCCACAATTCTGCCCCAAAAGGAATTAGTGTAGCTCATCGACGTGTTAGCTTTTGGAGTCAGAAATATAGCAGGCTAATTAACTGATAAGAAAGTGAAAGGGACAACACGAACTTGGAATTACTACTTTGCAGCAGGGCGCAGAGAAAGAGGTGCTGAGGGTGAGCAGGCTTCATCATTATGGAAGAAAATGCTCGCCGAGACCCAGAGCGCCCAGAGGACTCCGGCGAGGAGTCCAACCGGGCAATCCGACCTCTCCTCCCACCTGGCAACCAGCAGTCCCACCGGATCACCAACTTTTACATCGACAACATTTTAAGACCGGACTTTGGCCGAAAGAGGAAGGACGGGACTCTGGTGCAGGATGGAGACTGTCTGGGAGTGATCATACGAAGAGAGGAGCAGACAGGGAGAAAGTCTTCCAAAACTGGCAACCCGCAGCAGGGTGGAGCAGGAGGCGAGGAGGAGGAGGACGACACGGGAGCATCCGACGACCAGCATCCGGACACTGAGACCAGGAGGCCTGACCTGATAGCCGGTGATGTGGCCGTGAAGGGTCGTGGGGGCGGTGGGGACCGCTGCAGCAGCCCCGAGGCCGGCTCGGCCCCTGCGTCCAAGCCGATGCTGTGGCCAGCCTGGGTTTATTGTACCCGCTACTCAGACCGTCCGTCAGCAGGTTGGTGGGGGAATATTGTTCGGCCGCTTTTTGTTAGTTGAAAAAAAATAAACAAATAATGAATTCGTTATTGAAGGTAAATTAAGGAAGCCTATACTTAATTTACTGAGTCCGTTAAAAATAAGTGAATTACAGAAAGCAGAGTTCTTCTTCCAGAGAGAGAAGAGCTCCGATTAAAAGCTGTGGAGGTTAATTCTTTAGAAAAAAGAGTGACATTTTATTCTGTGAGCCCTGCAACCCCCAATCCTACTTAATGGACATATTACTTGTAACAATTGACAACGCAGTTATTGCACCATCATTACTATATTATCTTAATTATTTCACAATTTTAAAAAAATGATTTAACAGTCATAGAAAAGACAGAAATATTTCACATAAAAAAATCTACTTTAACGCAAATTACAAAGTAATTCGAGTTATTTTGGGTGGAATTGTATTTTTGGCTTTAAATGACAATAAAGTGCACGAGACGATAGCTGTTGTTGAAGATGGTTGTGCAAATGAAATTAAAATGAAATACGAGTCGAACATAAAGTGAAAAATATGGAGAAGTGAAGTAAAACCAAGTTTAACGCCATTGTTCCTCAGTCTTCTTTGTTGATGTACCATTAGCATATTTTTTTGACAATGGGGGGTCTAAAAAGTGAGGGCCGTGTGTCCCAAAAAAACAGCAGCATTCGATGCGAAATATTAAACAGAACTTCAATGTCTTTTCATCCGCCAACGAAATAAAAAACGCTTTTTGACAACATGTCTACATTATGAACCAAATGTGAAATGTTTGGGCTTTGAGAGAGTTGGTATTTCAGACGTTCAGCGTGTTGTTGTGTCGTCGCTCCGCTCTGCTCTTTTAAATGAACAGGTTCCGTTTGATAAGATACAGTGAAACCTTTGCTCTATCCAGTTGTTTGAGGTGAAAGCAGGCGCACTTGGACTTTTCCTTTGTCATGCTTTCGAAAAGGCCTTCAACTGTTAAATAATGTTTGTCAAACAAACTAGCAGCCCAGCGGAGGGAAAGATGTCGCGATGAGAAGGAGCGTCTGAAACAACTCAAAACGAAGCGGAAACAGTCCTAAATGTTGTGTTTATTGTTGTATGAAAAACAAAACCAAAAGTTTCCATCGAGGTCTAGGCCGAGCTTATGGAAATGAGCACAAAGGGCCTTGAGAGAGGTCAGGGAGGCTGCTGCTAACCCAAGCACAGCTTTGAAACCCTTTTATATTCTATTATAAGATTATATTTCATACGATTGTATAAAAGTGTAATGATTGTTGTCAAACCAAACGAAGCCCTTTACTGTAATGAGATCAAACATAACTTTGAACTGTTGGATGACACAATGCTATATTTTTACACTTCCGTACCAAAGCTCTAATATATTTGATTCCGTTCGTTCTCATTCATTTGCTCTTTGACTTCGTCACCATAGAACCGTCTGGATATTATAATAGAAACGCTCTTTTTAGGAAACTACTTTTTCTTAAATGGAGTTCCTATGGTAACAGGGAGGGAAAGAGGCGCCTAACTCCCCATCCTCCATCAGATCCTAACCCCACCCCCATCTGCACCCCCCTCCTCCCGGTCTCACTGAAGTCTGCAGCAGAGCCGGAGGACGTGCAGCCTGCAGCCTGATGGCTTCTTACTCTAAACTCTATTTCAGTGCTGTTGAGGGTGGAATGAAAAGTTGTGACTGAGGTATATCTCAGAGTATTTCGCTTTAGATTGACGTAACCTCCTCTTTCAAATATTTGACTTACCGGTACAACAAAATGATAAAGTATCATATATATATATCAAGAAGTAGATCACTTTAGTTTGATCAAGAAAAGTCAGATCGAACCCTCATAGCCCGTGAGATCGGTTCTTCATTTTACTGAGAGGTAAATCCTTACAACTATGATTTCAATTCTTATACATTCCATAACTTTTTTATTGAGTTAAATCATACTAAAATTATTCCTTGACCTCGAAGACTTGTGAAAGCAGCAGAGGGACCCCTGGAAATATATATATATATGAATGTTATTGAACTTATTCCTTTCCTATCATGGCACCATGTTATCATAAACCTGACAGTCACACTAATGAATCATTTACATGTTACCTTATAACTACCGTAATAACTAAGGTAATGATAACTTCAGTTATTATTATGTAAAGTCTGCCTATATGAAGCAAAATGTGATCAGATCCTGTTTTCAGAATCCTAACGTGTTTTGTCTTCACCCCCGCCCTCACCCAAGGGCCCAGATCCCGCAAGCCAAAGAAGGCCCCGACCCCGAGTAAAGAGGACAAGCGGCCCCGGACGGCCTTCACCGCGGAGCAGCTCCACCGGTTAAAAACTGAGTTCCAAAACAACCGGTACCTGACCGAGCAGCGGAGGCAGAGCCTCGCCCTGGATCTTGGCCTTAACGAGTCTCAGATCAAAATCTGGTTTCAGAACAAACGGGCCAAAATCAAGAAAGCCACCGGAAATAAAAACTCTCTGGCGCTGCATCTCATGGCGCAGGGACTGTACAACCACGCCGGGTCCAAGGATGGCAAGTCGGACAGCGAGTAGAGGGGGCCCGGGGACCGGAGGGGGTTCTGAACCATGCAATAAAATCACTTCAGTACCAGCATATTTAAAACTCAACCAGAGACGATATTGGGACATTTGCTTTGACCGTGTGTGTGCGCGCATGTGTGCGTGCATGCTATACGTGTCGTCGGGGCTGTAGTGACAATATCCAATCCGAGCCAAAAATTCTACTGCGTTGACGTCACAGCCAGAAGTCGGCATTTTCTATAGAACATAACAACCTACAAACCGCAACTTCCGAAAACCTAAAAACCAGCTATGGGTGCGCGCGCTCACCTTTAGTGTTAAAGGTGTTTAAACAGGTTCAATCCGCTCAGACGGCCTAGTGTGTCACATCAGGGACACTCTTCAACATCATTTCAAAAAAGACTGAGCACCATTTGCTTGCTGCTGTAAACATGCATTATGTGCTAAGCTGTTAGCAGCCGCTGGCAGATGAGGCGCTATAGTTTCCGACAGGCTGCCATTTATATTAGGGACAAAACACTGATGGGACTCAAATGATGCGCTAATAAAATAAGGACTACTTGACATTTTTCAACATTATAATTAATGTTGCCATACGGTGACGTCACACTACTGGAGTTGTATTTTCCAGAATAGCGTTATTGACGCATATAGAACGCATGCACTATCGGGACTAGCGCGAGAGTCGAGGTCCATAGACGTGGACACCCGGGACACATCACGGTCAAATGGGGACCAGAAACAGTGTTTTCGCCTGATGGTTCAGGACTTTAGAAAGTGTAGCCTACAGACCTATTCAAAGACACCGGACAGTTGTTCTCAGTGGACACGCCGAACGTTTCAACTGTAGAGAAAAGGTAAACATAAATGGACCGAGTGTCTCTGATGTTGTAAGAGGCGGGGAAAGCGAGTTAACGACATCCAATAGGAGCCGAGAAGACGACAAGCTCGAGGCATGGGGAAAGTGGACTGGACATCCGTCACGCGCACTGCAGCCCCGCGTCCCGTTAGGCTCGACTGTTGTGTGTGAGGAACTTTATTGATTATGAAAACGATATGCTGAAATCCAAAGATATTTTTTTTTCTGCTGCATTCTGGGAACTGTGAATTAAGAAAATAGCCGCTTTCGTGTTGTCTGTGTTTTGTACTTTCTGACTTTATTGGCTCCTTTCTGCTCTCTTTCCCCTCTTCGTTCTTATTGTGTTCTGTCGGCGTAGACTGTAGTGAATGTCTGTTTAATACTAAATAAGTCCTCACTGAAGAGCTGGCAATTTACCCCACACGCAACTGAACACAACAGCCCATTCCAGGTTCCATTTGAATTTATCATGTGTTTTTATTTAAAGATCACATTCGTTTTGATTTAGATTTTCTATTAACGCTTATTTGAAAAGATAAATTACCGGGACACTCGGATTTGATACGAACACCTCCAAACAATCATCATTCTGTCCTAAAGCCAGACTTCTGTCAAACATGACTCTCTCCCCGCTCATCTCCGACCGTCGGCCACCTCTGGCCCCGCACCCTCCGGCCCAACCATGGACCTAGTGCAGGCTGTCATGTACTTCTACGAATGTTCAAGAAAACAAGCAAAGTGTATGAGTTGTTAACAAAGACCAATATATTTTTTATTTATACATGGAACATCTGCAGCCATGTGGAAACGGGGCTCTGGAGTGTTTACATAACTTATTTTTCCTGCAATAACTTGTGTGTTAGAATGCTACACGCGTCAGGCCTTCTGCGGGTCGAACTGATGTGGATCCAAACCAAACCGTGGTCTTACGATGCTGTGAATGTTTCTGTTGATTTTCTCTACTGTGTTCTAGGAGGTCCATTTCTCTTCCATTCAATCCCAAACCTGGACGAGCATCTGCCTTAAACGTTAGTAAATACAAGCAGCGGATATTTACTGTGTTGTAAAGAAAGAACAGCTGTGTTTTCTACAATTACATTTTGACATCAGGATTTTTAACGAACACAGTTAGTGTTTTTCCCTCTCAGCTGAGGGTCTCTTTTATATGATGTAAATAATTTATATCATAACAGTGTGATGGTAAATAAAAGACAACAATGCAAATGTGTATTTCCAGAAGGTATTAAAATTAGATACCCTGAAACACACCCAAAAAAGTCACACGGGCCAAACATTTGGTTTTTTGCTGTGAAGTTGATTTGATGAGTCAGCGGGTGGTTGTATTGAAATATCTTCCTCATGATTAGCATGACAAAGAGAGACTGAGGAGGCAGACACATGGAGGACACTTCTAGTCTGCACACACAGCTATCACTACCGACTTGTCCTAAAAACCACAGCCTTCTACTTTACCTTCACTTTTAAAAATACATAACAAAAGGCCGTTTGACAGAGAACTGATATCAATATCTACTGTATCATGTGTGTCTGCAGGCTGGAGAGAATGGGTCAAACGGGTTCATGACGATGCAATAATATCACAAAGTGAAGCCCATATTAAATATAACAAAATCGATCCAGTCTAATGTAATGTCAGTAAATATGTTGTCGTCCCACATGTTAAATACCCTTTCTTTTTGTTTTTGAATAAATCCGAATGAAGCTCTGATATGTTTTTAGACGAGTTGGAGGACTTCTCTGATAAAAGAACACTTCTTGGTTCACAAGCATTTTGAACTAGATCGCATTGTGTCAGAGGTGTCTATGCTCCTAATCATGATATTTTGGATTTTTGGAGATACGAAGTTCTTAAAAAATAGATTATGTAAATACTCAGATTCAGTCTTTTCCAATCATAATTGCTGGTCTTGACAGTTCTGAGACTCCAAACTGGGACCAGAACATTTTGAGAAACTGTAATTTAGGCTGCAAATCATATACACCATAGTGTCTGATGGTGGACATGAAATCAATCACATTCATTAAAGAGATGACTCCTGCCTTTCTGGTCCGGTTGGGCCAACACCTCTCTGATGCAATGACATCATCATACAAGTATGAAGATACATGCTTTATTCATGTAGCAGTGTGTTTAGCAACGATCAAACTCTCTCAACCAGAAGCAACAGTCTTTGCTCCAGGTCATCAGAACTTTGATCTCTGCAGCACAGCGTCTACGAATTGGATCATATTCATGTTTAATTCAGGATCGTTGCTCTGCTTGATCACACCAACACAATATGAAAGGCACTTAGGAAGAACTGAACTGGTCCCAGAGGAATGATCTGAGAATAAAAAGGTATCAAATAATGACTTGAAGAGTGAAGATTGTGAGAACAGAGCTCTGGAAGCATAACATAACCTTACACATTGACTTTCTGATGAATAAGTTAGCATGTAATCTTTGATAATAAGTTTGCTTGTGTCTGTCTATGAGAGTCATTCAGAGGATTTGAGAAAATGGAGTCTTTTATTTTTGAATACGCAGCATCCACACAAACTGAGGGTTCCTGTCTTTTACACATGACAAAAACAACTGACAAAGTACTGAGAGTTCTGAGACTTTGCAGATAAAATGGTAAAAAGGCAGGCGACATTTGGAAACTTAGCCTCTTGCTCTTTACTTTGACTTTATTTTCCCGATCAGTCTGTCGAAGTCTCAGTAACAAAGTCTGCCACATCATAGATGGAGCTTGAAAGGACCGACTCCTGAAAGCTAAAGTGTCCATCAGAACACTGCCTCCTTCACAAAAATGATCCAGCAGTCAAATGAACTGAGTCCACCAAGTATCTCAGAGCATCACGGATATGTACTTTCTGTATATGTTGTTCACCTGAACATCTGATCGAGTTGGAGAAATAGAGAAAGAAATATGGCGAGCAGGAGGAGATCCATCAAGAGAAAGCCAGAGGGTTTTCTGTGACTCGTCCACTGGCAGCAGCATTGACCTGATCTCTGTGAATGGCTGCTGGAGCCCTCATCTGCATTTCCTTTCTTAGCTGGCTTGTATGTGGAAGTAACGCCCAACGGCCGCTGACTTGATGAGCTGAGCTACTCTTGATTTAAGAGAGGAAAGAGGGAGAAAAGCTGCGAGCTGTGTTTCTGTGCAGTGTGGGGCTGTCAGTCTAAAGGGTTGTGTGTGTGTGTGTGTGTGTGTGTGTGTGTGTGGGGGGGGGCGGAAATAATGGGCCAGAGAACCTGGATGAAGGTCAAAATGCTTTGGGTGTCCATGCAAAGAGCAGGTGACAACACTACAGCCAAGAAATGGTGAGAAATGAACATCATGGCTCTGATGTTGCATCAATTATATTCTGTTCAAATTAAATCTATTTCTCAGATGTATTCTGATATTGGGTCTGAGCCAAAAGCTTTTTATAACTTTCCAAATGTCAAGCATTTCATATACAACCTCTTAGAAACATGATGAACCATTTGGACTAAAGAGAGCGGTAACAGTAAAACCAAGCACCGGCGTCTTGTCTGCTTGTTGAGGCACAAATGCTGCTAAATCTGTCCTGTTGTTTTCTGGCTAAAAACAGTATCAAGGGGGCAAAACATTAAAAACAAAACACATCGTATTTACTCAAAGTTCATCCATCTCCTTGTCATAAACTTAACCCCTCCAACAGGCAGAGGCAAAGGGCAGACGAGCAGAGAAAAGAAAAGTACATATCACAAAGTATTGATGTCCCCTGTGTCTCTGTCACACAAAAGACGGCCCGTCCAGTCCCCCTTCCCCCCACTGAGTAATTTAGCCATAGTTCTCTAAATGCTTCCTAGTCAAACTTGGAATATGGAATGAAGGGGACAAGGTCTTTGTGGCAGAAATATAATTACGGCAGCTAAAAGCTGGTGAAGGAGGAGAATGGGGGATGACATCGGACCAATTTCACACCCGGGCCTCGGATGGCCAGGCCAAGCCTGGGCCTCGCCGCGCAACACTGATCAAAGCCTGCTGCAGCCGCCCCAAAAGCCAAAAGAAGGGAGACTTAACTATGCTAATCTCCAGGACAAATATATTTTAATCTTGTTAGAATACAAGTTAATGCCGCAGCTCAGTGACCAAACTTTATAATATAAGAGCAAAAGGACAAGAACACAAAACCACACTTTATCTCCAGGTTTCTCTATTTAACAAGTGAATGTTGAGTATCAGAAAAACAACAGTTGAGGGATTCTCAAGTCGTCATATCTCCGTCATAATACTCTCCAAACACTGTAAGCACATGTCCTAAAGTAACCGATAGACCTAGCTGTGCCATCATTGGCTGTAATGATACATCTCTCGGTCATGACACATAGGCGTAACAAATAGTGCTCTACTCAATCAATATTCAGAAGAGGATTAGGTCATTAATCAAGTATTTCTCAGAAACAAAGCTGCTTTTGGAGGCAGAAAACCCTCATCAGCTGACAGCCCAGTAAGGAATGACTGTCACGTCCAAGGGGGCAGATCTGAGACTCAAGCGCAGACAGACACTGGAGACGAGGTGGAGTTGAAAAATAAGGTTTCTTTACTTAAAAAGTCATAAACAAAAACTGAAAGCGACTCCAACGGAGCGGGCATAAATCCAAAACAGAAAACAAAAAGGCAAAGGTACCAACCAGGAGTAAACTCTGGAACACCGAACAAACACTAGGGAGGCACAGTCAAGGAACAAACAAGGACAATCTGACAACCAGAACAGGGAAAGCAGGGGAGTATATATGTGTGGGGTGATGAGGAGATTGAAGGCAGCTTGGTGGACTGGGCAGGTGAGTAGGATGAGTGTAATCAGGGGAAAACACACACACACACACACACACACAGACAGACACAGAGACACAGGAACACACACACAGAGACATGAGGAAGCTAACGGGATGTTACAATGACATCTGTATTGAACAGTTGCACACCTCATTATTTATGTCCCAGGTGAATGTTCAGTGTCCATGCAGGACATTAGTGTGTCCTTTATGAGGTGTGTGGAGGTGGTGGACGGGTTTGTCCACTTTCATGCAGGAGACAGAAGTTCATGTCCCAGATCAACGATTGCCTTCCACCATAACCTCCATCTCTTCCTAATAGTGAAAACTTGCTACCTTTCATGTGGATGTCCAATCAGTGCTGATGGTAAATGTAGTCCACTGAAGAAACAAATTCCGCAGTGCTGTTGTGCCTACATGTACCAGGATGCATTGTGCGTGAGCTGCGAGTCTGATAAATAAATAGGTACGAACGCAGGATGGGACCAGCCTGAATGCACTCACGGCTGGCTCTCTCTGGTTTGTCGTCGGCAACAGTATCCAACACAAACTGCCCACATTGACATTCATTACAGCAAAAGGATTCTGCTTCTGTTGCCATCAGAGGAAGATTTGAGCAAAGGCTCCACCGGTCGGTGTGTGCTCTGGGCAGCTGTGCTTCTGGAGGGTCCCCACCGGCCATATCCTCCCTGCAGCAGCTAGCTATGTAGACCGTAGACATCTTCGTAAACAGCGTTATCGGCACTCACAGCGTGGGGTGTTATTTTCGCTGTTGGAAATGTCACTAGTTTGCAACACCAGCAAAGAAAACAAGGATGCCTTTAAATGGCATTGCGCTCGACAGCTACCAAAGTTGAGGTTGCACTCTGTAGTTCTTCTTGGACTCCAACAACTTTAAGACCCCTGTGCCCAGCCACGCTGCAGAGACACAGAACATCAGAGGAGGCGAGGAACATGAACGTCAGATGGGTGTGAACACCCCAACACCTGAATCTCAAGCTCAATCTTCAACTAGAAAATGCATTTCCTGCTGGAAATGCATTGGAATGCTGAAAGCTGAAATTAATTGTAAAAGAATTGCTGAAAATTAAGAAATGGGAGACTACCTGTCTGAAAAATGTTGAAGCCCGAAAGCATTTAAACTGCACTGCTGAAAACCCTTCTAGTTGAAATGTCTAACTATGGTGTCTGTAGCTGAAAGTATGAGAAGAAGAAGGCTTTGAAAGTTGAAGAAGTTTAACAGGATTTGAAGATTTTCTCCATAGAGATCCCATTAAAAAAATATTGCAAATAGCTTAATATTTCAAAAAAGTTAAAAGATTACAAATATGAAAAGTCAAAGCACCCCTCTCCTGAAAGAGCTGAACATTTTGAAAGGAAAAAGTCCTGTAGTGATATTTGTAGTAGGGGAAGTTGTAGTTGTAGTAGAAGTATTAGTAGTAGTAGAAGTATTAGTAATTAGAAGAAGTAGTAGAAGTAGTAGTATCAGTAGTCGTAGTAATAGCTGTAGTATTGGTCGTAGTATTTAATATAACAGTAGTAGTAGTAGAAGTAGTTATAATAGTAATAGTAATGGCAGTAGAAGAAGTAGCAGTAGTAGTAGTACTAGTAGCAGTTGTACTAATAGCCGTAGTAGTAATACTACTTGTAGTAGCATGAATAGCAGTAGTAGTAGTAGTAGCAGTAGGGACTGGGTGGGGGAGAAGGGACATAATCATAATGTTTGACACACATAAAAAGAGGTTATTAAATGACAGGCTTCATCACAAGCATTTTAGGTAGAGTTCACTCTCTGGGGCTTTTATTTTGAAATGCGGTGGGGGGTGGAAAGTCCTCTTAAAATCTCTAAGACCTGAATGACTGTATGAGAGAGAGAGAGACAGAGAGAGAGAAAGAGAGCCTGCGTGCGTGTGTGTAACTGGTTGCCATAGTGACGACGCACCTGGTGTTAGAGGCAGACTGATTAAGAAACATTACAGTAAACAGTGATTTTGAACAAAGCCCCTTTTAACAAAAAGCAGGAGTCTGAGTGTCAAAATATGGATACCGTGAGAAAGATAAGACTCTGCCGAACGCGGTAATGTGTTTTTTATGTTTGTGGTGTTAAAAATGTGAGCTGCAGCGCGATAGACAAAACTGGTACCGTCTGCTTTCTTTGAGAAATGAGTGGTCAGATTTAACATGGAGTCTAATGGAGCAGTTTGTTGGAGTTCATGTCGCTCTGCGGCTCTTTGAGCCAAATGTGTAAATCTGTGGGATTCCACAGTCATTTGTCTACGACAAGGACAAGATTAGATACTTTTACATCCAAAAATGATGCATGAAGAGTGAAGATTGTGGACACAGTGGCAAAAGACAAATGTTTTTTTCACAAGAATCTCAAGCTGTTCTTCACTCTAGCGGTGACATCACGCACTCTAAGCTGCGCAATACACACCCATTATAAGGTCAGAAAAGGGCTGAAAAAATCCTAAAAGTTAAATTGCTGCAGTTCAAAAAGTATAAAAGATATCAAAAAGCTGAATCATTCTGCAATAGCTCAGGGTTTTCTCAACATTTTAAAGTTGAAATGGTGTCTGTAGCTGAAAGTATGAGGAAGTAGAAGGATTTGAAAGTTGAAGAAGTTTAAGAGGATTTGAAAATTTTCTCCATAGACATCCCATTCAAAATAAAAATTGCAAAAAGCTTAATAATTCAAAAAGTTTAAAGGTTAGAAATATGAAAAGTCATAGCAGACATGAGCTGAAAGAGCTGAATGCTGAACATTTTGATAGTTGAACGGTTTCTGTAGCGGAGTTAAGGAAGGAGTTAAGTAGCAAAAAGTGTACGGAAGAAATATAAAAGTCATAGGAGGAATAAAGATTCGATTAGTTGGAATGCTTAACAGCATTCCAACTATTAATGGGCTGTGGGAAAATGAGCATTTAACGGGTGCAAGGGTTGCTGGTAACCCTTGTTCTGTCTTGCAGCTACGCCATGATCTCGTATAGAATAGAAACCCTTTTTATTGTCATATACATATACACGAAATTTTGAATTTGTATATAGGGAGCAGTGGGCTGCCAATGACAGGCGCCCGGGGAGCCGGGGGTTGAGTGTCTTGCTACGGCACGTGACACATCCCAGTCGAGGATCGAACCGTTGACCCTGCGGTTACCAGACAACCCTCTTAAGCCAGTGAGCCACGGTCGTATGTGTCCTACTGCGACTCCAATGACTGGGCAGACAGGAAACCAAACGGGCAGGGAGGTTGGTAGGATCAGCAGACAGAAAGGTGGAAACGTGAAGGTAGACCTGTTCATGCTGGATGTCTGTCGGGTCATCTAACTAAATAAGCAGGTGCAGCGCTATGTAAGATGCAGAACCTGCACACTCTTGGCTTACAATGGTAAATGGTTTAAAATCACTGGTAAGAGTGTGTTTGTAAATGTTTCCAGCATTATCATCTAGAAATGAATGGTTATTGTAGCATCAACACATTCAAGCTGGTGAGCCCTTGCTGGCAGTGTTTTATAGCAAACACTGTCTGTTTGAGGAATGACAGAAGAGATGTTTTTGTTGAGACTGCAGATGAATGATGAGCGTATTTCGGTTTAGTTTGTTAACGTAAATGAAGGGAGACAGAGGCTGAGCTTAGTGCACGGTTATCAACACAAGAAGAGGACTGGAGCGGGCTGACCGAGACAGTGGGCGGTGCATGGAGCGACTGCAGGAAGCAGGCTGAGCTCATGAGTGCTTCATGAAAAGGTTGCATCTTTTTCTTGTTGGCATCCGTCTTGACAAACTAACTTCTGTTTAACTAAGTGGAGGAAGAACTGTGTTCTGATCAGTGACTGAGACGGGAGTTGAGAAAGGTCTTCTGGGTGCTGCTGGCTCATCTTTGTTGGAGGATGTCGACATCATTCTGGAGTGAGTTGGATGTAAACGGACTGTAAATGTATTTTCTGTAGTTATGGGGGGGAGTTGCTGAAGGTAGATCTACTGTGCATAGGGGATACAGCGTTTATGTAGAATTGTTGTAGGTTTAGTGAATATATATAGAATGATTGTTTGCTTTGTGTGTTGAATGTGAGCCTCTGTGTTGCATGTGTTGTTAGTACTTGACAATGTAGCATAAGAGTCTCCTGAATGATACTACTTATATTAATATTCTCACTTCTTTCATTGTTTGTGCACGCATCGTAAAGGGTCTATATTGTATAACCTTGTAAATGTAATCTTATATTCTGTTTTTACGTTTACTTTGTAACATCTGCCTCTTGGGACTACAGATGAAGAATAACTCTGGTGCACTTACAGCAATGTTTTTATTAATGTGCACTGTCCCGTATCAAACAAACCAATAAATACAATTGTTTGAAATTGTGTTTGTCTGGACAGACATTCTTAGTCAGTTTTGTAATCAGACATTGATGGTTGTGGGTCCCATCACCGAGTACTGTTATCGGTCCTGTGATCCACTTTGCTATATTCCAACTTGCTGATGATCCACAGACAGAACCGTGTGCCTCCATCAAGCTGTGGAACGCTAACGCTAAATCTTGCAGTAGAGCTAAAAAGCTGAAAAGTCCAGAGATTTTCAACTTGAAGCGGCGGCACCAAGAAAGTCTGAGCGCTTTGAGAGAAAGATGCTTGAGGCAGCACTTCTTCTTCAGGCGGTCACATGCGCTCTTAAAAAAGAAGCCGTCAGTCAGAAAAAAATGCTATATGGACATCTGTTTAAGTGTTCAAATTAATGTGGATGCAATCCACCCATATATATACATAAAACTAAAGTCTTTTTCACACCACTTCTCAGATGGTTTGGTGTAATAGTGATCTGTTCAGCATAACTCACAAGTTTCCTCCATTTTGCATTATCAAAGAGAACATTGTTAGTGTAATTAACTAAGAGGGTAACAGGGCAACAAATAAGCAGTCATTGTCTAAAACATCTGGCCACTGACGCAAACAGCAGGAAATAGTGCATAGTGAGCGTTTGTGGCAGCAGGACGGTGTGTGTTTATAATGCAGCTCTATGGCACAGAGGAGGAAGATACCACAGACACACACACACACACACACACACACACACGATAGCAAAACTATAGAATACCACCAGTCAGCGCTGTGTTTCTTATGACTGAGCGTTACAATTAAACAGTTACCCACAATTCCTCACCAATCTTTTGCCAAATTTAGGGGCAAGTGGAATATGTGAGAAGCCACGTTTCTCTATAACGTCTGTAATACTGTGTTGTTCATATTGCATTAAGTTTGGGCTCGATGTGAAGCTATATTTTACCATCATAGAGATCCCACCTCTAATCTGACTAACCATGGGATACATACCAGCGCTACACGACATGCTAGGAAGCACCAAGGTTGCCTCACAGCAAGCGCCAAAGCACCAATGTGTATAGAGATCACCGCATATATGTGACCTCATATGAGCGTTGGTTTGGTCACACCAACTGGCCTTCACATAGACAGATAAACATGGACAGAGCTGCACCATGATGAATAGAAAACTCTTTCTCTTATTGTTTCTAAATGTAGCGCTTGAAGGTGATGCACTTGCATGATTCCTGCTATTTTCGGGCTTTACCACATTGTATGAATGTGTGATCGATTGCCAAAACCGATTCAGAGGCACAAGTTTCTTAAAACGAATAATAAGATTTACAAATGTGCATTGTGTATTTGTGTGTAATTTGGGGTATTCATGAATGTGTTTCAATGCACACACAAATACCAAGCAATTTGAACACAAATGAATCAGTTTTACAAATGCACATGAATAAATATTAAGATTTCACATTACGGTATTTTACTTCAGTGTCACAGATCTGATTTATTTGGCCTTTGAAAAGCTTCCTGCGTGTGCAGAAGTCTAAAAACATTTGTGACATTCTTTTGTTTTAACTGTGCACACGGATCAGTTTCATGAGCGCGTGGAGTTCTGAGGCTGTTTCCTCGGTCCCCAGCTTCAGACAGATCCACAAATGCATGCTGCGTTTAAGTGCCGGTGGAAAACCGGGACTTTTTAGAAAACAGATTTTAAAAAAAAAAGTCTGTCCATGTAAAGGTTGCAGAAACACCGTTTTAAGGTGTTACATTCCTACAATTTAGTGGTCAAATGTGAGAGGTTGATTGGAAGTCAGGTTTGAGTAATGTTTGAATATATCGAGAGGAGCTTCAGTATGACCCGGTCTCTGTCACCAACATGCTCCCCCTGCGGACGCGCAACCTTTAGCATATCAATGCACAGGGTGCTAGCCAATCACCAAGCAGCTGCTGCTACATCTGGCCCAATCAGACAATGGATGCTTCCAACGTCTGCTGCAGTTTGTAGGCCTGTAGTTAGTATGAGAAGACACTTGACTGTTCACAGCTGCAGCTGTACGCTCATCTTCATCATTTAAAGAGCAGCAAAGGTCAAATCATCTTCAAAACTAAAATCATGATGGGACTTTGCGCCAGCAAGGATTATATCACTATATTTATAATAACTATGTTATTAATAATAATAATAACACAAATTAATATGAAATAATCATTTCAAATTGTTTTATTTCAATTTCTTGATTTATCATTTAGTCTACAGAACATCAGAAAATAGAGAGTCCCACTGTGCTAGAGAACGTTTGGAGAAGCTGGACCCAGAAGAGGTTTGAAGTGTTGCAGTGTTGAGTCTCAAACTTCTATTTCTCCTGCAGCTCAAAGCGACGGAGTCACACTGACTGAAGGCATGCAAACAGAGCAGAAGCACACCTTCATTAGTGTGCCGGATCGTAGTTAAGACAGAAAACCAGAAAACCAATAAGAAGCAGCAGCTGACAACACACCGGCCTGACTCCAGTGAGCAGCGACTTCAAGCCGCAGACAAAGAACAACGTGAACAAAATGCTTTCTCAAGATTTCATCCTTTTATTTATTTAAAAAGATTGACAATTATTTGTGAAAAACTGATTTTGTTAAAGCCTCTTTTTTCTGATCTCTATTACAAAACTGGTCCCGCCTTCCACCGCTGAAGCTGTAGAGCGCTACAACTCCTGGTTTGTGTGGCGGCTGTCTTTACAGTAGTCTGAAATCAAAGACAAGAGAGAACAATATGAGCAGTCGTGTTGAGGAAATGACATTAATAAACAGATACATTAAAAGGTTGTACTATGTCGCATTGTGAAGGAGTTTACCACGATGGTTTATTGTGCTCCGTTTGTGTGAAATGGTATAATTCTGTCTTGTGTCTTTCAGCTGAGTCACATTCTAACAACATGGCGTCTCTCTCATCTCTGTTGTTACATAAGGCTCTGGAAGCCAACACCCAACAGGGGAAATACTCAATACAACCACAGACAAGTACATTCTACAAATTATCTTTGTGTTTCCAAGCAAAGGGAAATACACTCAGCTGTGAATATATTGAAATGCAGAAACAAAAGCACGTGAGCTATTCTATCAATGTTATGGATATTACCACATCCGTGTATTGAGATAAATTCGCCATGAATTTCCCCGGCTTTATTGTAATAAAACAGATTGCACCTGATATGAGGAGTGCTGTAAACGTTCTGTGTGGTGGAGAGTGTGTGCACTGTAGGGGCTTGGTACCTGAGACAGTGTTGCATAACTCCTGGTGCACATGCTCTGTGTCCTGGCTGAACAGAGAGATGATATCATCCTCCAGCTCCTCCACGACGCTTTCACACTGAGAGAAAAACAAGCGCAGAAGAAAGACTTGGCCTGGGGAAGCAGAGCAGAGGCTCGGCCATGGATACACAACACACACCGAGTCTCTCCGCACAAAGCTGCTCACGCTGTTTGCAGGGCGGACGCCATGTTTCCTCTCCGTTTGCCAAACTGTTCAGCCATTTTGACCACACCACTAAGACACAACTCCTCAGATTCACTTATCTTCACAACCCGATACCAGTTTACTCCATTTTGATTTCAGCAGCTAGTCCTGTAGACTTTGGATGGAACCTGACCGGCAATATGTAGATGTGATGTGATGTGAATGTCAGGTTCAGGGTAATAAATGAGGTGAGCAGCAAGATCAGGTTGGAGCTTTAACATATCTTGAATCCTGAACAGAGCACCGGGAACTCCCATTTTCCTTCAGGACTATTTAAATCAGCTTCAGGTCTGTCTACGATAACCAGATCATACCGATGTGTAGTACAGCAAACACCATGTGGACATGCACCTCTAGTCAGTCAGACTAAATAATATGATAAAAGGAGTGAGTTTAAAACACTGAGTAAAGCCTTTGAGGTGCTTCTCTACATCACCTTGTTCTTGCATGGAGAACCTTTATCCAATCCACTGCCCTGTCCTCATCAAACATCCGTTGGATTTACGACATGCTTGAATTTAAAGAGGGATGTTTTTCAAGCGAGACCTCGCCATGTGACCGTACTACACTAGAACGTTACATCGAGCATGTCACATGCAAGATACATACAGCTGCTCTCTGGTGTTGACTTCATTTGATCATAAATGTCTGAATGAAACAGCACAAAGCTCACGATGTGTTCAGGTCACTCTGAATGTGAGAGTAGTTATTGGATCATGTGAACACGGCAGAAATCATCTGTATGTTCTATTGCACCTGGAAACATGATCCACATTTAAGTCCCATTCATAAAAAAAACTCTACCGATGCGCCAGTCACATGACGCAACATGGCGTAATGTTGCAAAGCTAGCAGCTGTTCATATAAAGCCGAGTTACAACCCGCTACAGTAGCCACAGACATCAGTGAACAGGCTGTGCCACACAAACGAGTCCTGCTGTAGAGAGGACAAGCTAGCTCAGACGTGACACATTTACATTACAGAATCAAAGAGGAGATACGGCTACGCGTGGGATCAGACACTGTGTGTGTGAGTGTGCTGTGTGTGAGGAGCGACCCATGGACCATGGACGATGCTGAAACCAGTGGGCACTAACACTATACATGTAAAGACTCCAGATACTTGGAAGCTTCAAAAATATGTGTGTTCATTTTTCTGAGTTCTAATTTCTTTGATACGTGTCGTTCCAATATTTCTGTGAATATTTTTTTCTCTTTTGATTTTAAGTTTAAATTATTATTGCATCCATTTAAAGCCTATTAAAGCCTCCAACCTATACATGTCCCTAAACTAGTCCACTTTACAGCTCCATCACAAATAAACTTTAATTCTGCACTTTTGCACTCACTGCGAATTTCAGGACGTTGGATGCCTCAGGTCCGTCGAACTGGAAGTTTTTAAAGTCGGGGAAGTCCCCGGTGGCCCCGCTGCTCCTGGGAGCAAACCTCATGTAGCGCTTGTGCTGGGTGTCGGGGTCCACATGGAGGGCGTAGTCGCTCATGCTGTTGCACACCCCATCAAGGAGCTCGCTGAGGTGAGTCGCTGAGCGAGCCAGAGGTACCTGGCCACACAACCGAGAGAGAGAGAGAGAACATGGAGAGCAGACGTTGAGCTGTTTGGTGTTCTGAGTGGACTGACGTCCTGTGTTCCGGTCTGGATCTTTTGTCCTATGACATTCCTCTCATTTCCCCAATGTTTCCTATACTAACTCAAATGCCTCTGAATTTTGGGTAAACACAAGTAGACCAAGCTGAAGATATGGTAAAACAAATAAAACAAATAACCTAAAATATTAAAAGTACACTTCCAGATCTACGATGGCACATGTGACGCTGCCATGACAACCAAAGAACATAAAGGGTTGGCTAATGGTGAGGAAATAAAGTCTTTCTGAAGCACTGTGATGCTGACAGTCCTCAGAGGTCGGGTTGCCCCGGTGTCAGCTGTGTTACACCACAGGGCTCTGTGCGGGTCAGCAGGGTGACCTCTCGTTTCCGCTGGGTTTTCTCCGTCCTCACTAACAAACCTCACCCTCCAACTCTGACTTTTAACCTGAGCGCACACCCTCCCCACCTCTCCGTCCAAACTCCACCATCCTCTTCCTCTCCCCCCTTTTGAGGACAAAACAGCGAGGCGGTGGTGTCTAGACGGGTCAAGACAGGTGCAGCACCCTGCTCCCACCATCCCCGGAAGGAGATTGGGTGACAGGGGTGACGCCCGGGGGGATGAGGGGGCCAGGACAGGCGGTTAAAAGGGCGAATGGGGGGGTGCTCTTTACACCTCCAAGCGGGCTGAGAAAAGCCAATGGGTGGGGGTGGTTCCCTGAGAGGGGTGGGGTCAGAGGAGGAGATGGGAGAAGCAGGAGGCCTCCACAGAAGCCAAGTGCAGCGTAAACAGCTCATTTTCTCAGCCCCTGCTCTGCTTCTGCTGCTTCTTTTGGCCCATTCATCCCCCCTCCATCCTCCAATGATCAGAGGAGGAAATCTTCCTTGTCTTCTTTGGTCAAAAGGTGTCAGGGTGGGTGTGGGGGAGGATTGTGGGGGTAAGGAACAGAGAGGAAGAGGGAAGGGTTGGAGGGCATCTTACCGATGAACTGGATTTTGTAACGGTGCAGATTTATTATTCCCTGAACCCTTTGTCTCTTTTCAGAATTGACTGTGTTCCTTTCCGGGCCAAGCCTACTGATTACATTACACACACACACACACACACACACACACACACACACACACACACACACACACACACACACACACACACACACACACACTTCGAGATGTCACAAAGTGACAAAGGGCCTCTCCGCCATCTGTTTTCCTGCCTCTTCCTCCGCTCAACAAATGGCTCCTTCCTCATAAAAATGAGTCTAATCCCTCCATCTTTAAGGTCCACCCACCTCTCTAACTGTTGGATTCATTCAGCAGGAGATCCCTTGAGCTTGACAACACTGTTGTGCTGAGGAGGAAGGAAGTTGGCTGGTCAACAGAATGTGTTACAGCACAGGGCCAAAGGTTGGAGGGCGAGCACCGAGGGATGTAGGTCACGCAGGCCAATGACGATGAGGTTCACCTATCAATCAAAATCTGCTTGTGATGACTTTGACACCAGTGGTGACGTGTCATCCACTGCGTGGGTGAAATTAGTGATTATGTCTAGTCCAGCATATCTGTGGGACAGATTTAAGTGGGGCTGATTGTTTTTCATTATCTACGTTCAATAAACCAATATTTTGGTCTAAGAATGTACAAAATGTTTTGTATAGTTCCAGATGTTTTCTTTCCTATCAATAAAAACTAAGAGAAGCAGCGAGTCGCCGCTTTTGAGGGGCTGGAACCAGCCAGAAGTTACTCATGCAATTAAGCCCAAATCACAGTTGTTGGTGATTCATGTTGTGGTGCTGGACCAATACAGAACACAAGAAGCTCTGCTTACTGGCTTCTTTTGAGGCTTTCAACCACATCTTATGGTGGCATATTTGTCCTGGAGATGGCTTAGTGGACATTATTCATTTTTTACTTTTATTTATATTATTGTTTCTATTGATTAAGTTTATATTGTCAAAATACAATTTACAATGTTCTACCTAAAACTACAGCACAATGGTTTCCTTCTATTTCTATATTTCATGGGCTGATTCTACTCTCTTGTGTTCTGGTGGTTTGGTTCAGCAACAACTTTGACTCCTGATTCATGTTCATCAGGGGACAGAGCTCAAATACATACAAATATTCATTTCCACTTATTACGATTAGGTATGATTACATCCTCTGAACTTACTTTAAGGTTTTGGACATGTGCCTAAGTGCCATATTTGAATGATTAGGCAGATCTAATGGAAGATATAACAGAGATAACATTGTTAAAGTCATTTGATTTGGTAGTTTTCAAATGGGAATACAAATATATATATATACATATATACATATATATACATATATACATATATATACATATATACATATATACATATATATATACATATATACATATACATATATACATATACATATATACATATACATATATATATACACATATATATACATATATATACACATATATATACACATATACATACATATACATACATATATATACATACATATACATACATATATATACATACATATACATACATATATATACATATATACATACATATATATACATATATACATACATATATATACATATATACATACATATATATATACATATATATATATACATATATATATATACATATATATATATA